TTATTATTTTTCTTTTCTTTGATTGATTTTTTAATTTTCTCATATGAGCATTTATTAGTTTCCTTTCCAGTTGGTTTTTCTGTATATTTTTTCATCAATTCAGAATAAAAAATTGGTGTATCGCTGGTGACACGTGGCTTTTCTCCTCCCAAATTTTTCATTGTAAAATCAATACAATTTAATAGTACTTTACCAAAACCAAAACTACTATGTATGTAGCATGATATTCCAGATGCCAAATATTGATTATTATTGGCGTTATCCGATTTATCATCTTTAACCAACTCGTATAATCCTAAATCAGATATTAAACTTTTCTCATCTCTGAAAGTAAAAATTCCATTATTATTTTATGGGTGGAATAAAATTTTTTACAATATTTTAAAATATTACAAACTTATTTTTCTTACCCGTCGGAAATATTTAAATCTGATTTTAATTTCTTTCTCCAAGAAAAATTCTTGAATTTATTTGTATTTGATAAGTAATTATGTAAATCTCCACCTTGTTCATGTTCAAGCACTATTGTATAATTTTTTTCATGATCCAATGTAATTCCGTAGCATTCATTAACATTCTCATTATAAATAGTTATATGTCCTTTTAACTAGTGGTTTGTAATATTTTAATTAGTAAACTTTTTTTTGCAGATTTTAAAATTCTTATTTCACAAATTTCTTTTCCTACCTCTTTTATTATCAATGAAATATCCTGTGATTTATCAATGCTTTTTAATACAACTGTTTTTTTATTACACGACCAATAAGCAGTGTATACTACACTAAATCCTACTTTAGTTAAATATTTGACATTAGAAAATTCATCATATGAAATCCATTTTATCTTGGCTCTATTCATTTTACATTCATAAAGAAATTCTGCTAATTTTTTCTTTTTGCACTTCGATGCTAATTTTTCAATTTTTTCAAATTTATTCATTCTATGTTGATAAATAAATAAGTGCGAGTGATAAAAGTTATTTGCTTCAAAAAAGCAAAAAAAAATTTAATATATAGCTAGCAAACATTTCTTTTTAAATTAAAATTTGCAATTATTAAACCAAATAAAAATTGTCATTTTGCAAAATGCATATTCCAAAAAATTGGCTTCCAAAAATAGTAATTTCAATAATAAAAGATTGTAAATCAACTACTCGTTTTGTTTATTTATTATGATTATGCACTATTTTATGATTATCCAAGTAGAATTTTCGAATCATAAAAAAAGAAATTACTCGTTTACAAAAATAAATATATGAAAATTCGAAGGGGTTTTTGAGTTGTGTTTTACATCTCATCTCTGTAAATGACCTAATATCCTCTACATGTAATTAATATTGACAGGAAAGGTTTATGTAAGGAAACCCTTTTCCTTACGTCAAAATACTATATAATTGTTTTAATTATTAAAAAATACAAGTTATACAAGTTATCTTTATTAATTACGGAAAGCTTATCTTTTTATACAAAAAATGCATAATATAATATTGCAATTAGAACTTCCCGGAAAGCCGCAGCACTTAATTTGTAACTCATATACATAAGAAAATAATATAAATAATAAGTAATATGACGATAATATATATAAATAAAGTTGTTTCGTTTTAATTTAACGCCGTATTACTGTGCCACATTACATATTCGCAATAACAAAAAAGAACTGTTACAGTTTAACTGGTGATCATTTAGAAAGTAAACTTTATATAAAAATAAAGAAAAAATGAATAATAGAATAATTCAAAGGGTCCAGCAAAAATAAGGAATAAATTGTAAATTTATTCAAAGAATGCAGGAATTAATTTTTTATTTATTTAGAATTTTTTGATGAAAAGTATTTCCTATGCAAGAACTTGTAGAATTTATACAAATACAGCACTGTTAAACGAACTCCCTTTCCAGTTGCAGCAATTGCAACTCAAGCCTTAAAATCCACAGTTGCAGAAAATGTAAAAATTTTTACAGACACCAACTTTGGACATGGCATCCAAAGTTTTCACATTCTTTGAGCAACATGACATGCAAATTCCACATCATCTTTGTACTATCTATTTATGATCTGAATCTTGATTAAGAGCCAAAGTGAGCATCATGATCCACAGAGTTGTCATTGGACAATGTCCAACAGTTTCATTGGGCAATTTGGATTGAACATTAAAATGTGCTGTTTCTCCATCATTTTCTGTAAAGATTTTATAGGCCTGTTATATGTGAAATTGAAATATTATGGAGTGGGGTGAAATTCTGATTGGCTGATTTGAATTTCACATAATTTCATTTTCACATACAACAGGCCTGCAGGGTTTGTGATCTTCATTTTGGTAAAAAGCTCATCTGGTAGATGGTTGATAATAAATGACTTGGCAGTTTCATCATTATTAGGCACAAGAGAGTTTCACAACTGTGCAAAAGTCAAAAGGTTTTGTCATAAGTTGAAACTAGTTTGACCTTTGACTTTTGATTTAGTATTGATATATAAATTTTAATTTTAGTTTTGACTTGCGCCTTTTTAAAATAGTTTTGGTGACCAACACTATTATGCACCCTAACAATAAGGAGTGGATTCTAGCCTCATAGGTTTCTTGAATATCTTATGACATATTTCTCTTGTGCCAATCTCTGAATGGCAATTTGATTTCATTCCAATTGTTTCTTTTGATATTTATGCCCAAGTCAGGCTCTGAATTAAGACAGGCTGGAGTATCAATGTCAACAACTCCATGTTGAGTGGCAACAGGAAGATACTTTCCAGTCATTTTTGATTTGTAAATATCCGTCAATGGGCATTAGCAAAGTATATCAAACTCATTCTCACTAGCTAGATTTTCCTATTGGCCATTAACCACTAGTTGCTTTGTTATTTTCAGCAATAGGTCCCCTGAACATATGTACTAATTAGAACTCTTTGTACAGATTGAAATTTTTCTCTAAGTAAACATAAGTGTAACATACTTTTTTACTATTTAACTTAGCAGTGCAAGCATGTGAATTCTCAATTCAAGCTTGGGTGTATCTGTTAAATATATATAAGTATAATCCAATAAATATAATAACCATTGGACTTGAACCAACATTCACTAGGCTATTACAGTACTTGCTATTACTGATAGGAATTGAACCCTTCAAGCCAATAAATATATGGTAAATAAAAAAAATATATACAAGAAATATTTACAACTATATCACTTGAGGCATTTATACAACCAATGTAGTAATATTAAAAAGGGTTCCTAACTAAAGATTAAAGGTTGGTAAACCATTAACCATCAAAAAGGATCATGGAATGATTTGGAATGGTTTTTCCTCTTGAACTATGAAAAGATTCATAATAAAGTATTTATTTTATTATAAATTACAGAGAAGTTATTAATCAATAGTTATACCATTATTAATTGATAATTCAATGATGATTCTTTAACTCATGCAATTTCTAAAGGTTTGGAGTATTACAGATAATGTAATTTGTGCTATAGTGGCAATCATTTAAAGGCATCACAAAATGTTGTCAATCTTTAAATGCTAGTACTTTACTAATTATGGACTATTTTAACAAAAACTCTATTTTTGCAATCTTCTAGACATGAAATAGAAATTTTTGAGTTAATTTGTAAAAAAAAGTTATAATGGTTTAAAGTTGGATAGCTTTACTATACATGTCATTTGAAATTTTGTCAACTATACAAACCACAATTTACTATTACTATTACCAGTTATTTTCAATATCCACCAATTATTCATGTGACCAAGTCACAAATCTTTATTTATTTTATATAGAGTTCTTTATAAAAATTTTTGGTGAGTGGCACAGCACAAGTTGTCTTCAGATAATTTGCACTATACTCTATTATCCAATAAAATATGCTTATTAATTAAGATTACTAATGTTAATTACTCCATGTTTTGATTTAAATAGCGTGCCTAAACAACAACACTTTTTGTTTCTTTGTAAAAAATATTGTTTTTAAAAAAATTTGTGTGACACTAATAAGCACTTTGTTGCAGATAATCTTTTCAATGTTGATCATCTATTTTTTTTAACCTGGCTTGATATTTTTTCTTGATTGTATTATTTTAATTATTAAAATACATGAAGAAATCACAAACACACAAAATAAACAATAAAACCAAGCTGGTTAAAAAAAAGTAAGCAAGTATTATTATTTATGAGCTATTAAAAAATAATAGTGGTAATTCATCAAAGCATTAATTGTGAATTTTATCCTATAGGGGGAAACTATGAAATGCTTCAAAGAGTTTCCACAGTGACTTATGATGATCAGGTATAAGGTTTCTGGCTGAAACTCTCTTTATTAGTAGCCAAAATTGGGCGAAATTACTTTAAAGTTGTTTAAGTTAAAATAAGCTGATTGGTATATCTTTTTACATTTATGTTTATAAAAAATGCTGAGAAGTCCAAACAGCCCAAACTAGTTTGGGGCATTGAGAAAATAGTTTGGACCAGAAACCTTAATCAGGTAATTGTAAAATTTATCAATAAAAAGATAATATAACAACCAAATAATTTATTAAATCACTATTATTTATAACAGGATCATGATGGTGTTCATGTAAAACCATTAATTATTTGGATTACTTTTATCCAACCTTACTCAAATTAGTTGGATTTTTTCATCTTTTTATAACACCTGCTGTAAAAGTGAGTAATAATAACTATCTTGTATTTTTAGGTAGTATATACATATTTAATTAATATTCTAATAAATAAACATAGTGAAAAAGATGGGTTGAACTTATTATTTTTAAGTACGAAACATATATGAAAAATAATGATGGTAAAGGTTGGCATACTAGATTTTATAAGGTACTTGATTTTTTAATTCATTGATCCCATATTTGAAAAAATCTTTTTACCATTTTCTAATAATAATGTTATATTTGTTTAGAATTCCACCATTGATAATTGCAACTGTGTAGAGTAAAGGTGTGGACATATTGTTGAACTATAGGTTCATTGTTATGACATGGCTATGTTGTAACTCTTGGAAAGATTTTCTGAGTGTTATAACCCTCTGTTTGCACCCTTAGTATAGGGCCTAAGTAATCATTCTCCTGAAGAAGTCAAAGGATACTTCAAGGTTCATCATAAACAAGTCAAACCATTGGATGAAGAAGATTGCAGGTTAATTTTGGAATGATGATTAAAGTGAGGATTTAGGCAAGAGAGATGTATTTTTTACAAAGATAAAAATGAAACCTTAATAAATTGGATTGAGAAAATTGATTATTAATAGATTTCATTTAATATCTTACAAAAACCTTTATTTAAAAGTCAATATTGTTACTAGAATTAGATCTGGATGCTCTAATTCCAAAATTCTTAATTTTTATTATTATTCTATTTTAGTTAGTATTATTTTATCCGTGTTACACCTACTTTTGTAATACGATTTATTTTTATTTTTATTTTTATATATCACGGGAGGTGTAATTACATATTAATATATTAATATTAATATATAATTAAAAAATCCGATTCGTGTAACCAATCAGTTTTTAAAATATCTCATTAATTTTATAACAAATTCAAATATCATCATTAATCAAAATAAAACTATGACATTATAACTTTCTAACGAGCCCTTTCCCATATTGATAAAGGCTCTCTATGTCAAGCTATATTTATTCAAAAACAACATTACTTTTTACTTCAAAGCTAAGATTTTTTACCAATATTACCTTTATAAACTTGGTGAGTGGTTTGAAAAGATGTAAAGTATTGAAAGTTTTCATATAGGTATAGCTTTATGTGAATTGTTGTTTATTAAAGTTTAGTGAAAATGGCAAAAACTCCAGAAAACATATTAAATTTTATTTATCAATACACAAAAAAATGTGGGTGATAAACTTTAACACCAAGATTTTTTTCTATTTATTATAACCTCTCCTAATTTTTTTCTAAAAGAAGGAATAAGTCCTGAAAAATCTGTGTTTTAAATTTGGTGGAGATTGCTGAGCAAAAAGGGTTAAAATTAAGGTAGTGTCTAATAAAATTTCGGAAAATACACTTCCCAATCGTTTAGTGTGACAAATGACTATTAATTATTTGTTATAACGTCATAATTTATTTAACTTATTTAAGGAAGAATCGTCTTACCAATATTTCAAAATATTATGCCGAACCTCAACAGTTAAAAAATGGTGTGATCAAAGGACATTCTCACATTACCATACAAAAACTCGATGGTAATAATTTACCTGATGCAAAGGATTTTACATTCTTTAAAGGATTGTATCAACCAGATAAAAATGGAATTTTATCAGTTAGAGTAAAAGGTTTATCACCTGGTGATTATAGAATTTGTACTTTAGTCTCATCATTCTTTCATCAACCTGTGATAATGCCAGTTGCAAAACATGGTTCACAAGATGATTGTATCATAATTAAAATCAAAAGAAAAAAAGAAATTATAAAATTAAAATTATTAATCTGTTAATATATATAGCACGTTTTTAAATTGTATTACAATATATTAATATATTAATATATATATATACACATCTAGGGAAAAGCTCCATTGATTTTTATGATAATAAAGTTAAACCTAGTTTAGTAACAAACACCTTGTATTTTTTAGCGTAAAGTTAAAACCAAATTATATATATATATATTATTATTATTATAACTGGTTGCCCGGTTCTGATTTTGTCAAAAGGTGATTAAAACCGGTTCCAACCCCTACAATAAAAATTTTACAGTAATAGTAAATTTATGTGTGATTTTTTTCTCCTGTTACACGTACTCTTTCACATCACAGCAAAATCATTGTTTGTTGCTTAATCTATCCAAAGAACCAATAATTATTTTTATAATTTAATTTTTTTTTATTGTATAGCTCAAGTCATCTAAAACCGACCAATTTTATTCAACATTTTTGAAACCCATCACATGGAGACACGGAGAACTTTTGGACTTAAACTCTTCATAGTTTTATATAGTAAATGCCAAAGAATAATTCTATGAAAAGATTGATGTAAAATATTTATTACTTAAAAAGTTATGGTGGTTTGAATATTAGTAACTTTTTATATTTTAAATAATGTTTACCTAAAATTTTGCCACTTCTTCATAGATCGTTAATTATAATCTTCACCCAAAATTCTCCAAATTTTTTCTTTGATGATAAATTTAGGAGTGGAGCACTCCCTATGTAAGAAACTTTATTTCCTGAATTAGGAATGATATTCTAAAATTTGAAATTTTGCTATAATCGGGTTTAGATGACTCGAGCTGTACTTTGCTTTACAATTTTTTTTTTTTAAGGATTTAAAAGTAAACGATGGTGATGGTTATAACGTCAAATTAATGGTATTGGTAGTTGGATTAATATGATTAATGAGAGGAGAGAGAGAGTCGGTGATAATAAAAATAAAAAAATAAAAAAAAATTCGTAGCAAAAAGAAGCGGCACATATTAAAAATGATAAATAAAAAAAAATTTTCTAAATTGATAAAGGTTTAAAAATCAGTATATGTTGAAATCATTAAAATAAATAATTATTATCAATATTAAATTACATTAAAATCCTTTTGTTTTTGTTTCTTCTTCGTCTTGACGGTATCTAAAAATAGAGAAAATGGAGGGTTAGCCAAATGCGGAAATGACTGATCGAATCAATTTTCGATGAGTTGGATCACTCTACCCTCCCTAAGTATCCCTCATGAGATCGAGTTCGCCGCCCATGTGTTCTAAACTAGTGTTATATGATAAAATCTCTTCACTGGGCATTAATAATGACCAGATTCATGTAATAAGTCTGAAAAGCAATCTAGAACATCAAAAATGAATTTTGACCAGATATAACTTCTCATTCCACTTGTCCCGCAGACATGATGACTTCAATTACAGACTCTGACATCATTAAATACCCTACGCACCTATCCAATAACCTATGAACTAGAACACTCTCACTCGTCCTCTACCCAACCAAGGAGCTCCAGAAGGTATGGGCAGTCAGTAACAATTCTATCAACTCCGTTACTGAATTTTTTAAAAAATGAAAATCAATTCACGTTAACAACGATGATGTTTTTTTTTTTTTTTTAAAAAAAAAATTGTGATTCTTTTATATATATATCCATTGCCATAAGATTAACAAGACAAGATTATCAATTAGAAAAAAACGTGGATTGATTCTTTTTTTATTTTCAACCTTATTTAACCAGTTTTTTCCAAATTCAAATTTATAAAATCCCTTAAAAATCCCTCGAAATGTTGAATTTTCTTTATGTACTGCAGTACTGTATACATATATAATTTTGATTTTTCATTGTTTGTTAATTGGGAGTATTTAATTTAATGGAGTGAAGAATACAAATAATAATAAGACACGCATATTAATATTAATATTATTACTTTAAGCAATATCGAGAAAGATGACAATAATGTAAAACGCGTGGCTAAAAAGCACACTATACCAGGAGATATGTTAATAATAATAATCTCTGAGAAAAGGCGGTGCCTCTCACATTATTGATTCGAAAGATGACGATAATGTTGTTGTGACTTAAAACATACAATTCCAGAGGAGATAATATCCGACAAAACTCAGACGCATTTTTAAACAAAAATTGCACAACAATAATTAAATAAAAGGTTCCGTTTTGCAACTTAGGTTCGCAAAATTATATATGAAAAATTTCACATCTTTATTAAACTAATGTTAGAAAAATAAAATCTCGACCATTTATTTTCTCTTCCAAAAAAAAAAATAATAGTTGAAAAACACACATAATGATCATACCCGAAAATTTAAGGCTAATATTTTGAGTTTAAAAGTTTTCAAAGGAATTGTTCAAAAATTTATTAAAAATGATGTTTGTTTACAAAAAAAAAATATTAAAATCAAGATACTTATTGAGACCTTTATTATCACATGTCAAAATTTCGGGCATGGTTATTAAATACATTTTTGTTCAATTAAAATTTTTTTTTTGTCAGAAATCTTTTTTTATTTTTTTCATTGTTATTTTCCTAATAATGGAAAATTTAAATTTTGTATGTAAAATTTTGAAAACCTAAGTTACAAAATGATATTAAATTACATGTTTTTATTGTGTGTGTTTTGTGCAATTTAAAATGCGCCTGACTTTTGTCCGTAGTGTACTCACTATCTTTTTCTAATTGGATGAAAATTAAAACAAGAAAATACTGTTGTGCTGTACGTATTATGTCTTTACAACCAGATTTTGCTTCCCGGGAGGATCCTTTAATTTAAGAAGTTGTTGAAAAGCATGGACGTAAAGTTATTTTTTCCCAAGTTTCACCGCGAACTTAATTTTATTGAGCATTTTGGGGGTGAAATAATTGCGTTTACATTTTTAAAGGATTAGAAAAAACAGTTATGACTTTGTATCATCAGAAACATGCAAGAAATTTATTGATGCTTATCGTAAAGGATTAACGCTCTATATGCTATAAATATCACAGACGCATTCCAGTAAATCTTGTTTTAATTGGGGAATAATTATTATTATTTATAAAAACCAAAAATTTGCTGTATCATCATTTCTTTATTCACTTTGCTTTGCTACGTGTTGCTATGCACTGCTCCAGAATTTTTATTTGAGAAAAGGTTTTTATATAGTTGAACGTAAAAGATATAAAACATAGTAAAACAGGTAATGGATATTCCAATCAAATCGAATGGATGCACGAAATGTAAGATAAAGTAGACTAATTCAAACAATTTAATATTCATTTTTTGATAAATGCTTAATTAAACAAATATAACGAAATTTATCATTCTTCTTCTCAATATTAATATTAACTGGTACTGTATTATAGTTCGAGTAAACTAACCCCGACCTACTTTATGTGGTGACTTTGAAATTTATCACATAGACGCACATTAATACTTTATAGGATTATTCTTTACCATTTAACATATAAAACTTTGGGAATAAGATATAACATTTTGAATTTGAGTGCCCATCTACTATGTTTAATAATAATGGCCAATGTTATTACACAATGTTGATTTCATTGTCACGTAAATTATTTTATGAGAAAAAATATTGTTGCATCTCCATAATGGAAATTTGAAATGTTACACTAATTTTTTATATTGTGCAACGTAGCTTTACAATACATGGCAAACATTCTGGCAAT